CTGTATTAAAAAATTTTAATCGAAAGCAATGTTGAAGGTTCTTTTGCTAATCAAATCCTTTATAAGTTTACATTCAGGTGTACAAATTGCCGAGAACTGCCACTATAAGTTTTATGTTGTTTTTTTATATTTTTAATAATTGCATAACTTCATATGTCAACTTGAAGTTGTTACTGTTAAAATTCAGACAAATATAATAAATAAAACAAACATATAATTGTGAAGTACGAAATAGAACATTCGACTCAACAACAGTATCATCAAAATGGCAAACGGCAACACCAAAATATATGATCCAGGGAAAAGAATGTAGTTGGTTGTTACAGGGTGGACAAATAAGCGACCTACGCGGCTGTAACTACGAAACCATGAATTGTAAGAGATTTGCGGAAAAAAAATTAGAACCATAGTTACCAAATTATGAAGTGCATTTTTATGCAGTTAGGAGGGGTTATGGCTATTATCGGGTAGAAAATATTTTTTTACCGAATCAGTTGATAGAACTGTAAAATTCTGTATCATTTTGGTTCATCGCTTTTAGTTATAGGGCAGCAAATAAGAGCGGAGGGGAGGGAATTGAGAGAGGAAACTTTGCTAATTAAGAAAAAACATAGTTGTGACAAAATTGTATTCACTTGTCCCGCTAAATAGTATTAATACGAAAATTTTAATTTTTTTTGATGTTTCTCAGAAATTTAAAATAGAATGTTACAATTGTTTTAACAGAAACTGAAAAATCAAATTTGAAAGAAAAACTTTCTAACCCCGTATCAAAAAATAAAATAACTTATTCAAGCCTTATTGCTTTTGCGTTTAACATTTGAAACGACAAGCGTTCTGTATTATCAACGTTATAACTTGGTAACAATTTCGCTTTCTCAAAAAAGCAAAGCCCAAAATGAACTTTCTATTTTTCAGGTGCTGTTAATAAATTCTACATAAAATAAAATAAAATAAAGTAAAGTAACATTTACTACAGCAATCAGATAATACTTTGAAACAGATATCAAATGTACATTAAATTGGAGAAATTTGTGCGTGCATTTGTTCAGTTTAATGCAACTTAACTTACTAGTTATAGCTAAGTTCGTATTAATGTTTAATAATATTTGAATATTAAAATTAAAATTAAATTAAATTAAATAACATTATTCTTAAATTTATCATTCACTTGATTTAAATCACTTCCAGAATGTCATAGTCAACACTAAATAACCAGGAGTCAACAAGTCTCTTAATTTTTGTATTTATTCTTATTTTGCAAATATATTGGAAGGGCGTTATATATTCTAGGAGCTGCGAACAGAAGGCCTGTACTGAAGTGAATTTTACAGTTGGTACTGGCATGGGTTGGTACAAATCTGGTTTGCCCTGAATAACTAAATGATCCTTTATGAATTTTGTTAATGTTAGTGGTTTGATGACCGTTTTAATGTATATTTTGTTAATGCTTAATTCTTTGGCGTCAGTAAACACTTTGAAAACATATTTCTGACTAATTGCCAGCGGTTGAAGAGTTGTGTCCCCAAACACATACACACACACACATATATATATATATATATATATATATATATATATATATATATATATATATATATATATATATATATATATATATATATATAAGGGCACTTTTTGACAAATTCTGACGCAATATATAAAATTTATAGAATAACTTTCGAATTTTCACAGTGATATAGTAGACATGGTCGTCCCATTTAAGGTTTTCATCAAAAACTAGCTTTAAATATTTTAACTTTTTGGTGGAAGCACCAGTTTTCGTCTTGGAATAAAGGGTTCTAACTAGATTAAATGACAGTACACTATAATCTGGCCATTTTTTTTTACCGGAGTTAATAATTCTTCAGCCTTTGAAAAGGCTTCTTTGCAAGTGTTTTCAACGATAGTGAATGCCGCATCATCCGCACATACAATATCTCCTCTCGGTAAAATAAAAATATTCCATGCATATATAATATAAACAAGATTGGCCACAGAACTGTTCCCTGCGGCACACCTTACCCCACCAGAAAAGAGCGGCTCAGGGTGTCACTAATTTTAGCTTTTTACGATCTATGTTGATTTAATCCGGTTTTTTACTAGCCCTCTGTATGTTGATATATTATGTTTATGTCAATTCTGCATTCCCTTTTCGCTGAGTTTGATTTTTGGAAGTTGGTAAACATATCAATAATTTGTTGTAATTTATATCATGTTTTCAATAGTAACCGCGATTAGCCGAATTACAGTTTTAAAATATTATTAATATTTTAAAAACTTTTAAAATATACGTCGGAGAAGTGTTTGGTGAAATTTTAAAATAAATGATGAAACTATGATTTTCGACGAAGTGATTTGCGAAATAAAACTAGCATAATATTTTATCCTTAAATCCGTTCCTAGTCATACGCTTCGTTAACTACGACGAGTCCTTTTTTACTTCCACGGGATTTCGTTCGAAAGATAAAAACGAGACGATCGATCGTTTATCAGTTTTTTTTTTCGATGAACGGCTATATTTTTCTATGAAAAGGTGCTGGCGAAATAACTTGAAAATATTAGTGTATGTTAGGCAAATTTATTTAGTGACCATACAGGGTATTCAAATAGACTGTGCCTCATTTTCGGTAGATTTTAAGAACATGAGAAACAAAATAGTTTTTTCGCTTTTTTTTAATTAAAATTCATTATTAATAATTAAATACTTTCATCCTCATCAAATCGATCAATCAAAAATAAACTTTTTGAAACTTGTTCTAACTAAGGAGGCCCAGAAATAATTAACTAAATCAAAGAGCGCAATAGTAACAAATGAGTATTCAAAAAGGTGTTAATTTTGAATGTATTTCATTGGAGCTTAATGTTGAGTAATGAAATTATATTATTTAAACTTGTGTTTCCAAGAAATTTTTCTATCCCTATCTTTTCATCAAGCTATTCCCGATGCCATGTCATAGTAGAAATTGACCAACCTTTTCAAGGATACTGTACCAACACATTTGAGGTGATGATCGTCATCTTGATCAATATTTTGATCAGTATTTTGAATTGTTTTTTCTACATGCTTAAATGCCTAACAGAGAACATCATCAAAAAAATTAAGATATATAAAAAGGAGTAAAGATATACGAGGTGTGTTCAAACTGTAAGGTGACTTCTAAGTTTTATCAAAAAGTATTTATTTATTCATCAAAATTAATGTTGCCTTCTTCAAAATAATCAGTTATAATATACTTGTGCCAACGTTTTTGCTAATCCTCGAACCACTTCTGGTTGGACACAAGCAACGATAAGAGATCAGGTGGATTATCGCGACTAAATCAATGAATTCTTTTACCACAATTTGGGACGTTTTCTTCCTATTGCTTCTCGCAAACGGCGCATAACTTCAAAGTAATACTCTTTACTAGTCGGACGACCTTGTGGTAAGAACTCTTCACTTACTACACCACTATAATGAAAGAAATCAGTAAGAAAAACTTTGACATTTGATCTACTTTTTTCTGCCTTGGCTAGTTCTTCCATTGGGAAAATTGGGCTTGGGTTTCGACGTAATAACCATATACCCATGTCAGTAGTTATGATCTTTTAGAGCATATCATGATCATCATTAACGTTGTTTAACAGGTCTTGAGCGATACTCCTTCGACGGTCCCTTAGTTCAAAATTAAGCAATTTAGGAACAAATTTTGCTGATACACGTTTTATGAACAAAACTGCGAAAAAAATTGCATGGCATGATCAAATAGAGCTGCTGACGTCTTCAGCCACTTCTTTAATAGTAATTCGCCTATTTTTCAACACTATTTCATTTTTCCAACGCTTTCATTAATTATTGGGGGCTTCCAGAACGAGCTTTGTTATTGGCGTCTTCTCTTGCTCAAAGTAGATTTACAATATGTCCTTCTCATTGCAAGTGTTTTGCAGCACTGTATTCAATTTTTACACAAAATTTTAAGCAAGTTCTTTGATCCATTTTTTTTTTGACAGCAGAAAATCGTCGAGCGCACAGAACACATTCAACGCTTCTGTCTCACACAACATGTGTACCAACATAACAAAAAATATTTCGAAGATCGAATGTACGTAGCCCACCCAATTATAAAAGCCACCTTACTTTTTGAACACACCTCGTATAACGTCGTTTTCTCTGTAATGTGAACATTTTTATATTTTTCAATATTATTATAATATTTAATTTTTCAATTTTTAAATCAAAGACTTTTTTAAACAATTTAAACAATTTTTGCAACAAACAAAAGAAGCAAAGTAATTTCACAAATATATTGTTTACTAGCTTCCCCTTACAAGGGACTCGAAAAAATACTTGTAACTAACATTACCTCTGAAAGCTTCCACCATTTTCTCTCACTTTTATTTCTCCAGCGACATTAAAATTCCAGAATTGGCTCAAAGATCACATGGAATTTGAGAACTTCGAAAGGAAGAGAAGCCTATTGAAACCTACAGCATGACGCAAAACTTTTGTCATGTACTAAACTTGATAATCCGAATATATATACCGAAAAATTTCAAAACTAACCAGAACTAACTTCGCACTTTCCTTCGGAAGCAGTTTTCGCTTGGGTTTAAAACAAGAAACTCAACGATTTGAATAGCCACCGCGTGGAACCACTAACTGCTTTATATTTATTTTTACCACCTTTTTTTGCTGTTTTTTGGGATTGCCCTCGTTTATATTTTTTTATAAAATTTATTCAGCTTTCAGTTCCGGTTGTCTCTCTTGAATTAAGATATTCATAAATAGCTAATCAAATTATACTTCCTAGAAACAATTCAGAATAAGAGGATATGAAAAGCAACCATACTAGTTTTTATTATATTAATGAATTGTCTTTGCATTAAGGATGCAGCATCGTTCAAATGTAAATAAAACTATCGCTTGCAAAACTTTCGACTGAATCGGTCCCTAAACTTTCAATTTTCTCCTCGTCTTATAGGTTTGAAATAAGGTTTGGATTTTTTTTTTTTGACAGAATCTCGAACTCAAGGGCCAGATGGTTCACTGCCCAGAATCGGATTCCATCCTGTTTATAGGATCCCCTTTTATCGACGGCTTAGAGGGTCTAACTGGAAGCAGTCTGTTTATTTCCGATATTCCGCTGCACGACGCTACCAGAGACGTGATACTGGTCGGAGAACAAGCTAGAGCTCAGGTAAGCGCGTAAAAATGTTCCAAGTTGCCCAAGGCAGCGTGTAATTAATTAAAGTTACGTCAAAACTTTCAGCTTGGGTATTCGCGAGATGCGGGTATGAACGTTTTGGAGTGAAATTACATTAGATATTGTCAGATCAAATCCTCAAAATACTTAAACCTTATCTACCAGATTATTGTTAATTACTGTTTGGAATACATTTAGCTTCGTCAACGCAGTCTTTTATTGTAATGTAATGAAAACAAATTAGGTGTGTTAAATTGGCTCTACATCGCGCCCTACGAAGGTAACGTATATCAGTATAGAGTTCTCTCGTATATTGGCTCGTCGTTTTTTGACAATTTATGAAGGCAATCAAATTTCGTTGATATTTGTTATTAATACATTTATCATGGGCAGGAATGAGAAAACGCCTAATTTTAACAGACCGTAGGTGCAACGTTGCAAATTTTAATCTTTTTAACCATATAAAGGCAATGAATTCACTCCTGGTTTATCCGGAAATAATGATAACTTAAAATTTAAATTGTAGCGCCCGTATTTTTTTTACGATACACACATTTTCTCCAGTTTTTAAATTTATTTAATTTTCAAAATTGCAGTTTTGTATTATATTTCTGAATAAAAATACCTTCACTTGCCTCACAGCAATAACCTCTAAAGTTTTGTTTGTTATTTACTTTGAATAAGCTACTGTATTGGTATTAAGACAAACCTAAAACAAATGGCACAAACGCCACGATTATGCCTATAATAAGCGACTAAATAAAAGAATTTGAAAACAAATCAAATATTACTACTTAGTCCACAATAAGCATAATTATATTAGACCAGTCCAATTTGGATCGTTATATTATCCCGTCACCCGGTATTTGATTTGTAATTATTTATTGAATATATAATTTTAATTTTTAAGCCAAAATAGAAAACAAACTTCAGAAAATAATCAAAGATAATTGTCTTATTTTTCACAAATCAAAAATTACGTTAACAAACTAGCATACTATTACTAGTGTCATTTGGGATAAGCGGAGCGGGTGCTTAATAAAAGAGCGACTTATTCTATGCTACCATTACCTTTTTGGGTACTTTAATAGGCAATGTTATTATTGAATCGACTAGACAAAACGATAATATTGGAAATTTCGTTTTTGGATAAGTTTGGATTTTTCGTATTTTTAGCTCTCTCCAAAAAAATTTTTTTTTGCAGACCACACCTCGTAATTTATTTATATTTTCAGTGTCGCCATACTAGAGTGAAATTTTTAAATTCGAATAACGTTTTCAAAAAGAAAAACATAAGCAAATGCCTCGTTTCACCTTAATGAAAAAATCGATCATTCTGTTGGCTCCGTTTCCAAATTTAGACTTGAAGTATTTCCCAATAAATTTTCAAACGCGATATCATGCCCGAGATGAGGCGGCGCTAATTGAATTTGTCTCAAAACGAAGTTGATTACGCTCATTAGAAAGGCTGTTTGCATAAATATGGCGAAGTTGAGCGGGATGCAACTTAAAAGCTTTGACCTTAATTTGACTATAAAAGGTTTATGCCTGCGGCGTTGGATGTGGCGACAGTTTTTGGAAATCGAAATCCATGGCGTATTTGATGTCGCATTTTGACAGCTATTAAATTGAAACGTTACTAAATTTTTTTGCCAGACATTTAGGATATAAAAAATTGTCGTCGGGTGTTGGGGTTTCTCCATATTTCGGAAGTTTCCCCTATTTTAATTATAGATTTGGGACCAATCGAATCTTTTCGGTAGATTTTATTCACTTATACGATTTTAACGTTTATCAGTTCTGATAGCACGTCTCTCAGTGAATGCATTCGTGGTGTTTTTGGAAAAATGTAGAAAAAGTATAACATGAAATACGTTCTTCACTCACCCGTTTATAAACCATTTGCTCCGCTGGTGCCAAATCATTATCAAACTTGTTGCATAAATTCTAAAAAATGCAAAGGAATATTTCTCTTATATTTTTTTTATTGAAGGGTACATAAATTTCAAAAAGTAGAAATACATAATTCTTTGCGAAAATATTTTGACAAAAATTCAGGATATAAAAATTTGGCGTTAGGTGTTGGGGTTTCCCCACATTTCGGAAGTTTCTGCTATTTTAACCACAGATTTAGGAGCCATCGCATGTTTTCGATAAATTTTTGCCACGGATACTATTTTAATGTTTAACAGTTCTAATGGTACATTTTTCAGTCAATGCATTCTTAGTGTTTAGGAAAATTGAAGAAAAAGTATATCACGTAACACTTTGATAAAATTCTCCAGTCACTCGTTTATTAACCACTTGCTTCGCTCGTGCTTATTAAAGGGCGATTATCAAACTTGTTACGTAAATTCTAAGAAATAGAAAGAAATATTTCCCCTACAAATTTTTTATTAATTTGATCGCTTTGATATTTCCATATTTCGCGGCAGATTTAATGACAGCTTAAAAGTCAATTTTTAAACGATTGATATTGATTTATTATGGATGCTGAATCTCATTTTGTGAAATTAATCAAATCTGATAAATAATTTGTTTGAGTTCTATTTTTTCTTATCAACGTACAAAAATCACTCTAAAACACAGGTTTCTTTTCGGATGGAAACTAAACATGTTTCAGAACTGTTGCATTGTCGATTAAATGTATTGCCCCATAAAATTTTTGATAATTTGAAGAATTAGAACTGTTAGCTGTAGTCAATTCAATTAAAAATACAAATAATATATGAAAACAGAAAGAAATAAATGACAATTGCGATTTTTTTTTCTTCAAATATCGTGCGAACGAACTGAAGTTACCAATTGCGAACGTTTTAAAAGTAACCGGTCTGTATTTTGCTTAAGAATAATAAAATTGTTAGTAAAACACGTCGTTTGAAAATACGGCTAAGTGATTAACTAGCACGTGCACCCATTTTTTAAGAATTTAGTCCTCAGATTAAATTTGTTAAGCTGGTAAAATTTTTATAACTTTACAACTAAACAATAAGTTAAGGAAAATTTTACATAATGAAATGGAATCCTTTAAAAGCATTTCATTTTTGTGTATTTGGTTTTTACAATTAACTACAATTACAATTAATATTTTGCGGTATATTAATTTATTTATTTTATGATTGGGTACGTGAAATCAACACACCTTTACGAAGGAAATATGAACTACCCAAATCAAAAACTTTTTCGAAATAGTGGCAGCTGAATTAATGTCCCTGCAGCTAGAACCCAACATTCATTTCCTTGCCGCACAAACACCGAATTTGTTTTGTTTCAGGACGGTCTCCGAAGAAGAATGGATAAATTAAAAAGCTCCATTGAAGAGGGCAACCGCGCCGTAGATAAGGAAAGGGAGAAAAATGTTAGTCTCCTACATCTAATTTTTCCACCCGACATAGCGAAACGCCTTTGGTTAGGTAAGACAATGATGTGCTTTCAACAAAAGCGTAGCCTAGTAACTAATAATGATCGGGTCTGGAAAACAATAGATATTCTATAATTCATGGATGCATCTTATTCGTATACATATAAACTTGCAGATAGAAAGCAACTAAGAATAGAAAGTATACATAAATTGCATTGAATCACCACATTATCTTCATAATAAAATGTCATACATAAGCAGAACTTTAGATTTCGCAGACAGACATCATCTTATCTAAATAAGAAAGTTTTTGTGGAATTGAAATTTTTAGGTTAACCCCATTTAGGACTATATATAAAATTATGTAGGTATGGCATTCGAGGTCTGCCTTTGGATCTTATAACCTCTTATCTCCAAGGTGGACAGCAGTTTGTGGAATACCAGAATGGCCGTTCGTAACTTAGATTGGCAAATAGCGGTGTATCCTAGGGCCCTGTCCTGGTCCCATTGCTGCTTACACATTAAAAAAGTGACCTATATCATTTCTTATCTTCTAACCACTGCGTGTTATTTGCCGACGATACATCTTTTACTTCATCTGCTATGAATGCTGAAGAACTATCCATTAAAGCAAATATGTTGGAGAATATAGCAAATGTTTGGTGCACTCCAATTATATCGTAAATAGTGCCTTGCTTCCTTGGTGTTCGGATTGATGACAACCTGAATTTTAAACATCATAATTAGAATGCAGAAGAAATCCATTCGTTTTGTTGCAAATATATGGAGATCATTGTCAAACTTATTTTCAAAAATTTATAGTGATACCTCTTCCTTGCATCTTTATCCACTATCAGTTGTTAGAGATCCACAGAACGAAAGGAGACTTTGCAGCTAATTCCGATTGCTACACTTGTTCGACTCGTTCTGTCTGCTTAGAGAGTTTAGGTTTACACTCAGGAAATCTGAAAAAAATTCTATAGATCTGCGACTATACAACGTATTGCCGAGATCTGCAAGAGGTTTGAGTAGCCCAAACAGCCACAGCGGTATTGTTTTTACTCGGTACGAGCATACAACTATATTTGTTTTTCATTTATGTTTATCTAATTCTCACGTTCTTGTGTTGTGCATTGTTTTAGAACTATATCAACAAATTCGATTAATGTTGATGAATTTATTATTCGATATCGTTCGAATTACATCATGAAATTTAATATCGAAACTCCTGAGAACGATAGCACGAGAATACTTTGTCAGAACAGATTAGCTGAAAAATTCAGGCCTGTGAAAATTTTAAAGTGAACATAACACAAAGCGCAACAGAAGCAATATGTGTAAGAACAGTACACCAAAAACAATTAACCCTGGTTTACAAATAAAATAAAGGACCTGGCAAAAAAAAAGAAAACCGCTTGTATCAGATATATTAATAACCGAAATACAGCTGAATATGAGAAGTACAAAGAGACTAGAAATAGAACAACCAATGCGATCAAACAATTGATGCAGGAAAATTGGGAAAGATTTTCTAAACATATGGAAAACGATCTGTATGGCGGACAAAAGAAGATATGTGGTCTGTTGAAGAATAGGAAAAGGCAGGTAGATGATAAATAACGTCAAAATGGAGGAATGGATAACCACTTTCAAATATATACTAAGACGTCTAATATCAGAAAGAGCTATCGTAACCAAATAATATCAACACTCATAACTAAAATATCACATTAGAAGATGTACAATCAACTAGAAAGCAGCTTAAAAACCGAAAATATCCGGGCACCGATAACATACCAAATGAGTTACTAAAATGAATGGGGGAAATTAGTAGAAGAAATCACAAGTCTGTACCAAATCATAATTCGCACAGCACAGATCCCCTCTGAGTGGAAAACAAGCATAACCATTCCGGTATGCAAGAAAGGGTCAAGAAAGGATCCTAATAACTATAGAGGAATAACCCTATTGTGCTCTCCATTGAAGCTATCAAAAGCAAAAGATTACGAGGACTATAGAGACTTCTGAAGGTTTTAGAAAAAAACGATCCACAGTGGACGCCATATTTATTCTTTGGCAACAAATGGAGAAGTCAATAGAATTTTATGTTTCTCTGTTTTGTCGATTTAACGAAGGCATTCGATAGAATAAATCCCCAAGACGTGATTAACATTCTAATTGAAAATAACATTGATTCCAAATATATAGGAATAATCAGAGAACAAAATGTTAACAATAAAAAGAGGATTAAAACAGAAAACGGCCTCACTCAAGAACTTTTAATAAAGAGCGGTATCAGACAGCTTAAGCCCTACACTACTTAGCATCGTGATAGGTAAGATAATCAATAGTGCGAAAATAATGAATGGTGGTTATCAAATGGGAAATAACTCTCTGAACATTCTCTGCTATGCGAACGATGCAGTTCTTGCAGCGGAGAATGAAGATGACCTACAACGACGATTACATAAACTCAAGGAAACTTCAAAGAGATATAACATGATCATCTCCACGGAAAAGACACATGCTATGGTGATTAGCAAAGTATTGATCCGGTGTAAGTTGTAAACGAGAAGATCACTGGAACAGGTCAAGATATTCAATTACTTAGGGGTCAACATATCCAGCTCCAGAGATGTGATAGAGAAAATTCGAGCAAAAGTTAATAAAACGACACGTATTTTAGTATATCTGAGATACATGATCTGGCAGACAACAGCAGACAACTCAACAGCAAAATGAATGCCTCGAACCGCGGAAATAAGAATACTACGGAATTTAAAAAGAGTCACTCTAAACGATCAGATGCGCAGCGAATCCATTAGAACAGAGCTAGGTATACAAGTAGATACTATTGGAGCAACCATGTGGACAGGATGAGGTCAGTAAGATTAACAAAGGACACAAAATCCGGGCACAAAACGGCCGGGTGTACAACGATGGCGAGATAGCTGGACGTCTCCTTGACAACAGGCACTATTAGCTAGATTAAACACTGCATGGCCCTAGTCAAAGAAGAAAAAGATTTTATCATTTTCCAAGTTATCAAACAGAATGTTAAAATTACAAAGATATCTAAGAAACTCTGGGGTTTACGGTATAGGGAAACCCGACACCATGAAATAATAAATGATATTAATTGACACAATTTAAACTTGATTATAGGAAATTAAAACACATCGCAGGTAAAAATTTGAATTAATGTATTCCTAGAATGAAAAAACAATCAATATCAGATCAGTATTTTTGTTTACTTTGATATTAGCTAGAATGCAGTTGTAAAATTTCTATTGCAAATATCCTGTTCCATTTCCGGACCTCTCAAGCCGAATGAAGTCTGCCATAAGGTTATTTCTTGTTGGGTTGTTGGATAATAGATCTGTATTTTAGATAGCGTGCAATAGGTACTGCATTATGTTCGAATTCGAATTCGAAAATACGAACGTCTGTCTAAAATGCCTTGCCATTATAACAGGATTGATTCTAAGCGAGAATAGAATGAGCAGAGTGAAAGTGATATATTTTTAAATAGAAATAGCTTTGGGATAATTTTTTTGACAGGTTTATATTTTCCCATGCTAATCCTGCGTCCAAATAAACTCCAAGGAATTCATTTTCCCGTGCACACCGAGGCAAACGGTGTTGTTCGATATTGGTATTTCTCACAGTTATGGTTCACGCTAAGCTTTTCTTCAAAATTTCCGGCAAATCCGGATGATCTGATCTAATACAAATATATTTTTGAGTTACGGATGGAAGGCTATTTGAAAAAGTTTGTTTTAACTAATTCTGTAAGCTGTGTAAAAAGTATAAACTTTTGACAAATTGACAATCTTAAGTTATAATACGAGGTCATCTATTAAGTGTCTCAACCAAAGTACCGGCCAGCGCGACACTGTGGTAAAACAAGTTACGTCGCCCTTGGAGGGCTTTAAGCCAGAATTCTACCTCAAATTAGTATTCCGTTGCCAAACACAAGTGTAAGCAAGGACTGACACGGCACGGCGCTCTGCTTTCTAATACAATTTGGAAAATAAAGTTATATAGTTGCAATTTTTTTTTGCCTGTTTGTTGATTTATTGTGTTGGTCGAGACGTCAGTTACATTTTTTTCGTTTGCCCGATAAAAAAAACGAATAAATCGTCTATTCCATATCCCTCTCTCGAAATAAAAATACTCCATTCAATATGTTTTTCATTTAGCGGATTGGATTCGACGTGGCCCCGACACGACCGCAATACCGAGCGGGATTTGTTCTCCACGGAAAATTAAACATTATTTTTTGCTCAAAATATTTTTTTTGCGCACGTTAAGAATTTCGCGAGTCTATTGGGTGATTAAGTGCCTTATTCCAGATACATTCCAAAAACAGTAATTAAATTGCAAACATTTCGGTTGAGACCTCGGGAAAATGGATCAAGCACAGATTTAATAAGTGAATAGTTTGTAATAGAACCATTTTCTTTTAAATGACGGATTTATATTAAGTTTCTATGTACAGTCTCTGATATATTGGCTGTCAAAATACGGAAACAAAATGACAAAGTACATTTCGTGTTGCAATAGTATACGAATTTTTAATTTCATAATTTTTCTAACCCACATTGTATTGACACGGATATCGTCTTTTTCTTTTCTAAAAATGAACAGAATCTATGATTTTTTTCAAAGTGATTTTTCGCCGAACTAAATAATAAGTTACCATCTTATTTGCTAAAATTCGGGATAATTTTTGACTAATAACCCGTAAAGTGTTTTTTTTCTCCAAAAATAGAACTATTTTGAATCATAAGCTATTATCTTGATTCGGGTTTAAAGGCCGTCGTCGGTTGGAATTACTTTCTAACGTTTCGCTAGCACGAGTGGCGAGCTTCTTCAGAGGTCCTTCCATCTCCGATGTTGGACGTAGACTGACGATTTCTCCTGCGCAGGTTGTATTTATGCCGATTGGTGGTGGGCGGGGCTTGTTCCACTTCGGTTGGTCTCGGGATATCGATCGGTACTGTTCGGGCGTTCCTAAGGATCGGGTTCCAGATTTGGTTGAGTCTAAGG